CTGGGCGATCTGGTCCGGCACTGGTGGTTGGTGCGAATGCCGCCGGTTTTCGGTTAAGATCTCGCGAGCTTGGTGAACCGTTCGGATTTTTTAGATTCACATCTGTGTGGAAGTTGGAAAATTTTCGGGCCGAGATCTGATCCTGCTTATTCAAATCTCTAGGATCAGTGCAAATGTGTGGGCATTGTGTGTTCCGTTGGGAACCACATGATTACTGTACTTGGTTTATTGCGACCGGGGGTTTAGTTAGTTCTTGCTTGCAGTTGAGTTGTGCGTCAAAGCTTGGTCTCGTCATGCCTGAGGAAAACACTTAGCATTACGGTTTGGTACAAGGATATGTGTAAGATCAAGCTCAATCTGTATACAATATAGGTCTCGATGGGCCTGTTCAATCATCTAGATTAGCATGTTTCCTTTCATAAACGGTGCAAAAAATTCTGAGTATCTTGGAATGCTTTCTTTCTTTTTCTTGGAATGTAAAGGTTGTGACAGTGTAAACCATGTGTCCTGCAAATTGCAGTTTGCATCTCAAGAATAGTTGATGTTAGTGTAGGATTCTAAATCTTTTTCTCACATTGCATAATGGTAAATGTAATATTCATGCCCTGATTCAGCTAAGATCTAACTGAGCGATGTTGGTTTTTCCATCTCCATTGAGCAGGTCGCTTGAGTTAATGTGCACCATATAGTGCTTTGTCTCTGTTAAATTGCTTATGAGATCAGTAAAGTGCTATGGATATATGAAGCACAGCTGAAGAAGCCCATAGTGTTTCATACCAGTGAATGATCAATATTTTGTCTGTTTCAGATCTTAGTACCACTAGAGATGGAAGGAAGAATGACAGATTTATGGTAAACCCTGGTAAATATTCGTGGGAGGTCAACAAGTGGCGCGCTGATTAAGACTGCTACAACACTTTGTGGTTCATCTCCAATTAGTGATGGCGAGAATGAAGATCCCAAAGCGTTATGTCATAGTATTGCTGACATTCATCTGCACAAATGTTTGTTACGTTGAGCGTGTGGGTTTCTCGATTGCGTACACCGTAGCAGCTGATGCAATCAACGTGAATCAAGCAAACAAGGGCCTGATACTCTCCATGTTCTATTATGGTTATGTTTTGTCACAAATTCCTGGTGGATGGGCAGCTCAGAGATTGGGAGGGAGACGTGTTCTGCTGCTGTCATTCCTGTTGTGGTCCTTGATATGCGGTCTAATTCCACTGGACCCCAACAGAGCAGTCATTCTGGTCCTTTCTCGCCTTTTTGTTGGTGTAGCACAAGGTTTCATATTTCCTGCCATTCACACAGTCCTGGCACAATGGGTGCCACCGCAGGAGCGCTCTCGCTCAGTGTCATTAACAACCTCAGGGATGTACCTCGGGGCAGCTTGTGGCATGTTGTTTTTTCCAAGTCTGGTGAAGCACATGGGACCCCAATCTGTATGTTTAGTCGAAGCAGTACTTGGAGTAGCATGGTCTGTAATATGGTTGAAGTTCTCCAGTGAGCCACCTCGCACTGACCTTCCAAAAGTGGCAATGCCAAAAGTAGCATCTCGGGAGAAGATTAAGGCGCAATCAGTAGGGGTTGTTGCACCTCGCACTGTAAAGATACCATGGCGAAGGATTATCTTCAGTCTACCTGTTTGGGCAATTGTCGTGAACAACTTCACCTTCCACTATGCCTTGTATGTTATCATGAACTGGCTGCCTACCTATTTCGAACTAGCCCTTAAGCTTAGCCTCCAGGACATGGGATCGTCAAAGATGCTTCCCTATTTCAACATGTTTATATTCTCCAACATTGGTGGAGTGGTTGCTGATCACTTGATTACAAAACGGATCTTATCAGTTACCAAGACAAGGAAGCTCCTAAACACCATTGGGTTTGTTGTCTCGGCTGTTGCACTCATGGCCCTCCCTTCATTCGGGACGCCCTCAGGGACTGTGATATGTTCATCGGTATCCCTTGGTTTTCTGGCTCTAGGAAGAGCAGGGTTTGCCGTGAACCACATGGATGTTGCTCCAAAGTTCGCCGGCATAGTGATGGGAGTTTCCAATACAGCTGGGACATTGGCTGGGATAGTTGGCGTTGGCCTCACGGGAAATATTCTGGAGGCTGCAAAGGCTTCTAACATGGATCTAACGAACTCGGAAACCTGGAAAACAGTCTTCTTTGTTCCAGCATACCTCTGTATTTTTAGTTCAGTCATTTTCTTGGTCTTCTCAACTGGTGAGAAGATTTTCGAATAGAGGATGATTATTTTTGCCTGTTCTTTTCTTGTCATTTACGGGCAGTGAGACAGGATAGGAACATGGGAATATCACATGTATTTTATTCATTATATCTGTCAGATTTCAGAGCTCGGACTGCATCCCACACATATTGAGAGTTATGTTATGTTAGGAGGAATAACACTTGTCTGTAGTAAATTGTGTTATCTGGAATCATCCTATAACTCTGTTATTCCAGCTGGCTGGTTGGCCTATTTACAAGCAGTATTACGTTGTGTAATTTGCTGGGCATACATGATCTCTGTTTTGTAAGTCATTTTCCTGGGTAGGAAATAATGTGAATTGTGCAGCAAGAAGTCGAGAATAGGAGAAGTTTATAGGAAGCCTACAATATTATGGTCAAATTAAGATTGAATCATATGCAAAGGTAAGATGAAGATATTATTATATGCTATTACAAACGCTCTTATATTTCTTTACAGAGGGAGTACTTATTAAGGCCTTTGCCTTGTTCTTCATGCATATGAATACCTCATGGTCACAAGGCAGCAGCTTTTACCACTGTGCCAAGGCTCCCTTCTCTTCATGCATATGAATGTAAAAGAGAAATTTCAATGTTTTGAATCAAATGGATAAATAGTGGGGAAAATCTTCCTGTAGCGTATGCAGTCTTCCTTTTCTGAATCTCTTTCTGTAGCGTATAGTTCAGACACGACTTGCTCTCTTACACTTTTCATGGTTCAGGGACTAACCTATAGTTGCTGATCGCACTACCAGATAGAATATTTCTAGTCCCAAAAGTACTGCTGCAAGCACCATCTTCAACTTCTGGTTAGTCAATGTGTTCCAAGGTGCCTCCCATTCCTAATGAACTACAGGCGCGCTTCCACTAACTTCTACTCCCTCTGTAAACTAATATAAGAGTGTTTAGATCACTAAAATAGTAATCTAAACGCTCTTATATTAGTTTACGGAGGGAGTATTTGCCATTCCTCTCATCCTCTCTCGAGGCTCTCAACTCAATTCTTGTTAACTAGGAGCTACTTGCTTCATAAGAAGAGCTAATATATGAGGTGGGAGGAAGACTACGGTCAAAAAATGGGTATGCAAGTATTGAGCAGGAGAAGGAAATGCATCCTTATATAAAGGCACGTGCCACAGGCCGAGAGTGTTCACCTCTTTTCTGAAAAAAGTATATGAAGACACATGTACAAGAAAATAAAGTTGAAACATATGTGTGCTTCAACTCAACGATGGCTGCGATGACACATCTCACAAAAGCAGATGAGAGATATTTCTTTTTCTTTTAAGAATAAATGTTGCCTCTTTATTTATTAAACGTAAACAGAAATCTTGTCCGATATATTGCCCAGAATGCAATCTGGAGGAACAGAGAACCAGAATTTACAAAGTTGTTCCCCCATTCCAACCTTAGCTAATCTATCAGCGGCTCTACCACGTCATTTTATACTGCTGGAAACTCTTAAGCATCTCCTTAACCTCAGATGAGACATATTTCTTGAACGATACAGATGAGGTGAAATAAATGAGTAAATTAACTGTTGGCCTAACTTATTACAAGTATCAGAGGAGGTCTCGGGTAGAATAAAAGCTTTCATTTACATTGGCCCAACTTGTTACAAGTACAAGTGTTTACATTTGTTTTGTTGATTCTCATCTACCTCATGTGTTTTGCTCAAAGAAGAATTTTTTTGAGTGAATTCCACTTTTTACCCCATATTTATACATTTGTGACACTAATTACCCCTTCGAGTGAAAATTCGTCTAGAATACCCCTTTTGAAATCTTTGGACCCTTGTTTTTTGATGCGTGTCCATCAGGTAAGGTGTGAGGTGATGCCCTGTATCCAAAAACATGTGGACGGCCACAAGGAGTGGAACAGATAGACAAGAGAAGCTTGGACAAGATCGCCAATGATGCCCTCCGATCCTTACATTTTTTTTTACAAATCAATGACGCAACATGCCGATGCTATCGACCATAAACAAACAAAATGTAAAACTGGGGTAAAACCGTGTTAAAAGTCTCCAAAATCTGACATTTCGATAAAAGTTTCGCTAAATAGGGTAATATGTGTCACAAATGTACAACTATAAGGTAAAAAATGAAATTCACTCAATTTTTTTACCCATGTGTCCATAATTTTACAGGGAAATTCAAGGATATTTCTATTGTTGTATCACTTTTTTTTTCAGTTTCATTGATTCACGTTTTTTGACCTTTCATTTATACAGGCGCATGAACTGCGAACAGGCGAAGTTTAGCTGCCCGGCATTGTCACCTATCCTTTCAAGTCAGCTTAGACAAACCCACCCTTCGATATGCAAAGTTTAAGCACCCATCAGTGGAGCTGGACAACTATAGTGACGATACAAATTTTGACATTTGAGAAGAGAAGGTGTCACCTGTCAGTGTCGCCGTTGGTGGAGTGGTATGACCACAATGGGCCATGTTGCTCCTATTCCCTGCGTGAGTCGGGGAGTAGCTGACAAACGCCCACCCCTATGAGAGTGCCTGCTATATAGGCTGGCTCGTTCTAGTTTCACGCTGACCGGTTTTGGTTTCTAGAACCTTTCCCAAACCAGTTTTTCCTTTTTCTCTGAACATGTTTTTTCCATTTTATATGTTTTCTCTATTTGGTATTTTTTTTTGTTTTTTCGGTTCTTATTTTTTATTTCTATTTGGTTTTTGTTGTTTTCTCATTGACTTTCTATAGTTGATTTTGATTTCATGAATATTTCTTAAAACAATTGAAATATTATTGGCAATGGAGGGCATTTTTTCAAATATGTGAAAGATTGTTGAAATTTTAAACATTTTTAAATTTCACGAACATTTATCAAATTCACTATCATTTTTTTAAACCGGTGATCATTTTTCAAAGTCGTGAATATGTTTAGATATACGAGAATAATTTTCAAATTAATGAACATGTTTTGACATTTGAAAATAAAATTTCAAATTCATGAACATTTTCCAAAATTTAGGAACACTTTCAAATTCGTGAATATTTTTTGAATTTTGGGAACATTATTTTTCAAATTGGTCAATACTTTAGCCATTCGAAAATAAAAATTTGAATTGCTGGATATTTTTGAAATTCGAGAACATTTTTTGAATTTCTGAACATTTTTTTTCAAAATCTAGGAACTATTTGATTTTTATTTTTTTGGTAATTGAAGTCATTTTCAAATTCATCGACATATTTTTCGAAATTTGTTGAACATTAAAATTCAAGATTTTTTTAAAACTCATGTGCATTTGATTGTTATCCCCAGACCCATGCACTGTATAGGAGCTCCTTATGGACCTCTTGTCAACCGTGCTGGAGATTTTTATTATGGCCTGGAATGTCATTTATGAGAGGGGGCTGGAATTTTCCCCTCAAAGTCGCTCTTGATCATGTGCGACAGAGATTGAGCCCTAATAATTCATGCCAGTAGTATAAATGGTGTTTCTCCTCTTTGACGCATTAAGCGTCAAAGTGACTGTCGTTCACATAGACACACCGAAGCTAGCGATCGACTGAGCTTGCCCATTTAACATGTATGTTGTTTTCGGTTTTGGGAACATTCTTCAATATTCCAAACCCATTTTTCCAGTTTCGGGAACCTTGTAGAAGGTTCCTGAACTGTTTTTTCTATTTGTTATCTTTATTGAATTTTTCATTTTTATTTTTCATTTTATATTTTACTTTTATTTTTTTGTTCTAGCTTCTTTTTGATCATTTTGATACATTCTCAAATTTCAATTTTTTTTAAAAATATTTCATTTGAGAATATTTTTACAATTCTAGAAATGTTCGTGGTTTTTAAAAATATAAAATTTGAAAATATGTTCACAAACTGAAAAATGGGTATAAAAATTTGTTCAAAATTTAAAAACAACTTGCATTTTAAAAGTGTTCGCGTTCTCCTATTATTTTGCATTTTCAAAAACTGTTCAATTTTTTAAAAAATGTTACTGCTTTTGTAAAATGTTTGCAAATTGGAAATAACTTTCATGTTTTTAAGGTAACGTCGTCCAATTTGAAAAGTTTGTTTGTGTTTGCCAAAAAAGTTCAAAATTTGAAACGTAATTCGCGTTTACAAAAAATCATGTTTTTAGAAAATATTCAGACATTTGAAAAATGCTCACATTTTCAAAATGTTACTTTTTTGGAAAATGTGCAGAAATTTTAAATAATTGTTTCCATTTTTGCAAAAAAGGTTCAATTTATACGCTACAGTAGTCGTGTGTGCTACATAATCCAGTTTCGTACAGTTTCGGTTGCTATAGCATCGGGTTGCTACAAGAAACTGGTAAGCTACAGAAAAACCGATCGCTACAGTGTGTCTAAAGAAAAAAAACCAAGAATCCCCGTGAAAAACTGGGGTGGCTACTCTTTTTTTTTGTGAATTGGGGTCGCTACACGTGAGCGTGCCTGCGTGCGAGTGGGCCGGCGCAGGCGGGGCACAGGGCCTGTTTTGCACCATAGTTGCCATGTTTCCGGTATGGTGGGAACGAGGAACGGGAACGAGGGACGAGAGTCGGTGGCTGAAAAAAATAGGGTACAACGAGGGTATACATCTCTCGAACGAATTTTTTATAGCGGGGACGCGATCCAATCCGTTTGGTTATGATGAACCCGGTACGATACCATGGGTCGAGGAAGGCAGTTCCTGAAGAACGACGACTCCCTGACGGTCAGCATTTCTTGCTGTTAATGGATCCCTTGCAATTAATGGACTCGAGGAAGAACGAGGAGTCCTTGAGAAAAGAAACGACGGCGTGAGTAAATTATGCCTCGCGTTTTGGCTACTGGATCCTGGAACCTGAATCGAGGAGCAGGCTGTGGGGACGCCGAATCTTCATCGAATCGTACCAAATCCGACCTCGTTCCGGAATCCGATTCCGGGTCAATGAATCGGGATCGAGGGACGGCGTACCGTTCCCCGTTTCCGGCTACCATGTTTTG